AATACACTTGCTTCCTTTTTTACTTCATGCAAACATTACTGTTTACATCTTATTGACTCTTTAAGAAAGAACAGATAYAAACAGCATCATCTCAGATAAAATAAAACACACATAATTGAAAAATCTTGCCATAAGTCCTTACTTATTCTGGTTTAATATGGTTAACTGATCAACACATACAAAGAAACTCAAGATAATAACTATATGTTCATAAAGAAATAGAATTTAAATTAAGTAATATTAAAATGAGTATGAGCACAGGCTTAACCAAATGAATGAACTAGAAAGCTTTAGAAATTTTGTCTGTTTTCYATGTATCAAGACTTCTGTAACTTGTGCTGAGAACATCAGTGAACTGGCAAAYCCACAGTACATTACACAGATACTCTTATCACTTCTGTAAGGGAAAGCAGTGCTGCACAAGTTCACCACTTACAAGAAACATTTTGTACAGAACCCCGAACAAACTTACTGTTCTTTTGTACCTTAGCTGCCTAAGCCCAAAGAACACTACATCCCTATGAAGTCAGGAAGTTTTCCCAAAATCCAAATTTAAAACAGTTAAATATACTGAACTATACCTTTAATTTTAGTATTGCATGTAAGTCTCCAAGCAACCAATGGTCTTTTCAAAAGCATGGAGCATTATTTTGGTAGCAATGCTGTGACATGTAGTTTCTCACCTCCTCAATCTTCAATGCTACCATGGTATTACCTTYACAGGCAGTTATCCACTTAATCTAACTATTTGAAAGTCTGTTTGCTGAAAGCTRATTTTAAAAACCAAGTTTTGTTTTCTAAGTGAAAATTGCAAGTCACCTCAAGTTAAAGTTTGCTCAGAACATCCAATCACATACATAAAGAAAGGTGTTGGGTAACTCAGCTGCTGAAAGACACTCAGTATAAAGCACGGACAGGCAGATGCTGCGTGAGTATGACTAAAAACCATGTGGAGAACTGAGCAGGGGCTGTACTTCATCTCTGARCAGTGACTGTAAAAGACACAATTTCAACACCTTCTACCATGACTGCATGTAGTTTCAGCTAGTACAAGCCCAGAAGCATTCATCTGGCAAGGAGTTTAGCAGTGACCTATCAGAAAGGAAAAAGACTCAGTTCACAAAGCAGGGACAGGAGTTTGAGGGACTCTTCATCTACTTTTTAGCAGCAACATTAAGAATGCAAGACTTTTGACCAAAACTTCTCAACTTTGCTGGCTGAAAATGAGATTTTMGGAGAACCACCTATTTCCAATCCTGCTCTAGGTATTTGTACATTGAATTTGAAAAGCAGATTTCTACCTGCAAGCCAGAGACTGACTTCAGAAGACACTATACAAGCCACATGAGGAAGAAATTTTGTAGCAGCTCTTGGGACTTCAYTTCAACCAAATCTTCCTTCTGCCTCCAAAATACAAGAGGAGCTCCACAAACTGAGAATTGGGCTGCAGAAGTCACAGGTGCTTCAGAAGTGACCAATCTCAGGTTCAGGCAAGGACAGGGTTAATTTTTGCAGTAGTCAAGAGGGGCATGGCACTTACAGGGAAGCACTCAGGTAGCCAGCAACTGGGTGTGAATAATTTCCCTATTTTGTGCATTTTGTTATTGATACTGTAGCTGCCACTGTTTGCTTTCTTATTCCATTGCTGTTTCCAGCAAATTGTTCTTATCTCAACCTGTAACCTTTACTTTCTGTGCCTCCTCTCCATCCCTAAGCAGGGTAGGGCACATTGGACAYGCAGAGCAAGAAGTTGTGGTTTGGATTGTTTCTGTGGGAACACTAAATCAGGGAACATCATTCCTATGCCAGGACAGTCTTATTTGGTAAAGCATATGCCCCTCTTTCAGGCCAAATCCATTCCAGGGTACCCAGCCCTTCATAAAGGACACAGAACTCTGCCCAAGGCTCCCATTGGCTTCTCCAGGATCAGCTGTGTCACTGCACTGGGCTACCCAGGGTATATCTACAACATTGCATAWTATCAGACACAATCAAATACAACTGCAATGGAAAGGTTTGATTTTGACTCCAGAACTCAATGAATAGACTCATTTTAAATGAGTGCTGATACATCCCATTACCCTAACCCTACCAATGCAGCAGCATTAGCATTCTTGATTATTTTATATCCACAAAATACTATCTCCTGTATATATTCCATTCTACCCTTTCCTCAAAGATCATGAGAGAAAAGCATGACCTTGCTATTAGGAATACACCCCAGATTTTATAGCAAAAAGAGGTTTATGGTAGTCTACTGACAGCRTTTCAGTAGTTCATTTTCACAGGAAAAAAAAAAAAAACCAACTATACAAAGGTGAATTTTCCAGAAGAGGGGTACATTAATACTGCAGATAATCTTAGGACTTAGTTTTAGTGGTCGATAAATGCTCCCCGTTAAATTACAGAATTGAAATTATCCATTGATATATGCATGTAAGCCATAGCTGTGTTAAACAGTTTCAGGAAAGATATGCTTTATCTCTTCAYGGCAGTTCTTTCATTCTTCCTCAACCCCCTTCCCTTTCCCCCACCCCCACWAAGCCCATCTGCATATACCCAAAAGACTGGACACATTCATTTGAAAAACATTTCAGAGCAGCTAAGAACAATTTTGTGGGTTTTCACACACAAGCTACAGAAAAACATGACTTCTCAACTAAAATTTTTAAGAGCAAGACCCACATTTCTGTCTCATTTGGAAGAAACATCCAATACATTAAATACTCTATTGTCACATTTAAATGCTGTAGTACAGACAAAATATATGCAACTCAAAGTCTCAAGACAATTCACTACCCTGTATGTCTTRCTCTGCATTGTAATTTTTTTAAAAAGTCAAATCCCAACAGCATCATAGTGTCAAAGCAGAAAAGGGTTATAATTGTCTTACATTAGAAGATGTATTAATTTAGATTGAATTCATGTTAGATGAAAAAGCTTTTAAAATAAAAAGCTTTCATTTCATGAAAGTATCTAAAGCTCAGAATATTAATTACTCTAAGAAAGAAACAGAAAGCTAATGAAACTCAATTATACCGGTTCTGGAAGGACTCTTTATTTGAGTTCCGATTTCCAGGGTGATCAGTATAACCAAGTCATCTGCCATTATTCCAAAGSCACAACAACAGAACGTTTCTAAGGAATTTATATTTGTTATCACTTGGGTAGCAGAAAAGAGTTTAAGTTTAAAAATAACAGAACATGCATTTGTTTTCYTTTCCTGTTTCTTTGATTTGTGTTCTCATTAAATCACACAATGTCTTCTGCTCAAGACAGGCCTGATTTTCAAGAGCATTCTTTGAGACCTACATATTTAGTAGTTCTAGAAGTGAGTGGCTCTTCTATAATCAGTTATTAATTCAGAGTCCTGGCTTAGTGCACAGAATCAGCGATTTAGAGCAAGGAAAATATTTCCGTGGCCTAACTACAAAGTGGTCAAAATTTGTTTCTGTGATAATCTCAAGTCAGTGAACTTGGGAATTTGTTTTAGTGCATTGTGCTTACAAGTGGCAGTTGAGAAGTCAGTTGAACGGCACAGTTGTGACAACACATGGAAATTGGTCATTGATTGCACGTGTATTTGGGGCGCAGTGGGCTCGGGTGAACCAGAGCCCAAGGACATCAAAACAGCCTAACAACCCTTGGACACAACATGCTCTGCTTGTACAAACTGTTATAAGCCTATGAATGAGGTGTTACAATGAACCAAGAGCAAAGCGAGCTGTATCACATTAGAGGAAAAAAACAAATATAATCTAAGTGAATGGCCACTTCTCAAACAACATGGCATTTGAGGAGTGGGAGGTTAATTGAATAAAACAAAAATATCATACGCCTATAATTTAACATCAATAGACACATTTAAGGAACTTCAAGGGTAAGCGTGGCATCACTTGGTTCCTGTTTCATCACRCAGTTAACTTCCTATTCTCACTTTTGTCAGTTCCTTTATTTACCATACAAGCAGGACCTTCATCTATGTGCTCCTTCTTCCCTTGACACTGAGTGTTTCCACACCCTACTCCTCCTACTGAGTTTATACAGCACTTTAATTCTACCATACCAAAAAGCGTCTGTAAGTGGTTAAGGTAGCTCCTGCCACTGTTTCTGGATTGCTGAGGCTTTGTGACCATAGGTGAACTAGCATCCACTTCTTTACCAAAACAGGACAAAACCTCCAAGTCACTTTTGAATTAAAACACGAATGAACCAAAGATTTCCATTACTTCCTTAAGGAATGAATGAATGCATATAGGCAAGGGAACTGCACAGTTTAGAGATCTCCTCTGATTACATTGTTCCAGGTGGAAAATCATTATCATTTTTCCCTGTGCAGCTACTTTGCCACTAACAGTCTGGGAGAAAATATCGTTGCACAAACAACCATTCCATTCTAGTAAAAAACCTTGGTAACCAATGCAAATGTACATGCTTCAGATACTCTTAAATTTWAGCCTAAGAACAAAGACAATAATATTGAAAATACATATATCAAACTAAAGTGAGTAAGGCAGCAAAAGAATTAAAAGTAGCAGAGAYTGCAAATTTACTCAGCCAAATCCTAGCATGATTCAGAAGTGCTGGAAGAGTAGTTTTGCTATATTTGTACACATTACCAAAAATTCAACAAAACTTCAACCAATTCCAGCTGAGACAACAGAATCCTGTTACTTCAAGCTGTATCATTACAGACGTCGCAAAACAGATGTTTCCCTTGTTGTTTTTCACTAAGTAACACAACAAATTTGATTGTCTGAAGCGTCTCATCACAACATGACTAGTGAAAATACCCCTCATTTACAGTACTGACACATAATGCTGCTGAGAAAAAARGGATGGGGGTAAAGAAACTCAATTTTTTTTCCTCGGCTTTACAATTAAATGTAAATCCCATTCTCTTAAGATAGGCAGAAATTGGTAAATATTATACCAGCACTCACAAAGCTACAGATGCACATGTAAGCAGATGTGCAGAATTACTGTCAAAACCCTCTCACCTGCTCCTCTGGATGCTGCACTGGGAATTTAGTTCAAAGCAGGAAAAAAAATGCAGGAGCCTATTAGTCTTTGTAGACCTGACATATGGAGTCAATATAATTAGRAACGTCAGAGATGTGAGCAGAAAGACTGAAGCTTATTGAACCCAAAAGCTGTAACCAAGTGAAAACAGTAGCATGTCTGCAGCACATGATATGAAGCAGGCAGGTATTTTGGCRCAACCTAAGGAAAGACAATAAAAAATATATTCTTTTAACTGAGTATATAGTAATTGGTCTAATCTGATGTGCTACTAACCACAAACCGTAGGGYAATACTCAGAATTTCACTGGCAAATCAAGTCTAAATTGACTGTAAGGAACATAAAATTCTTGCTTTAGCACAAAGTAGCCAGAGCTAAGGAACTCCCCAATGCTGCTCCTTCCCTCACTTTGATCACACTTTTCTCCCCTTCATCAGCTGAACACAAAATACATGACGCTGCAGTCTGATTCTGCAGCCTACTTCCAATGTGGAAGAAACACAATTTCCTTCAGCCAACAAACACTGCAAAGGAGTATTAACCAGGGGGAAAAAAACATTTTTATGCCTAAAGATCCTTTAGTCTGCTTCCTCAGGTAGAGATGTTACTGTAACATACCTGAAGGGTCTTACACAGTAGACTGAAAATATTCAAAGTATCCTAACTGACAGAGAAGGTGGCTGATGTTAAAAATCAGTCAAATGCAATTTTTTTTTTTAATTAACTAGGTGAACTTAATGTTTTTACACATATTCCAGGGACCTCTTTTAACACAGCAAATACTACTAAAGGATTGAAAAKAATTAAAAATAGAAAACAATTGCCTTTAATTATGAGAACAAGATTCAAGTGCTTGAAAACAAATCACAATGATATAGCACAGCCTTGTCCATTAACCAGATGCTCAGAGAGACCTTATGCTATCCAGCACCAGCTCCTGTACTATACTCAAGACTACCAGACAGCTTAATTGTTGAGTATTAGATATAATTCTCCATCACACATTTAAAGTGTAACAGGATTTCTTTCCCCCTTCTTAAAAAAAAACTGAAATAAAATACAGCAAAAGCAGTGAATCATAGTGTTTAGTATTAGCAAAATATTAAAGCTATATGCACTATTCATCAGGTTGAAATTATTGCCTTGCTGAAGCATAAATATTTATCCAGTGCAAACAGCAGGAAACCTTRGGAGACAGCATGGCTTTAAGCACCGAAGTGTGTTAATTAGTACCCAGTGCAGCTTCAGAGTATGCTGTGCTATTTTTAAATAAAGGTTAGTTTCCAAATACAGGGAAGTTACAAAATGTAAAGGTAAGAGATAAGATAGCCTAAGAAAGCTGCCTTTAACAGCTACCAGAAGTGTTCCAAACATACTTTTCTTTTGTCACGAAGTTTAGAATTAGAGCTTTTGTGCCAATCAGAATGGAATACAAATATACAGCAACTTTTGCATCAGCAAGATGCCTGTTTTACTAGTATTACTTTTACCTAAATTGCTTTGCTATGCTTTCATTGTTACAAAGCATTTCATATCATCAAAGGTTAGAGATGGRAAAACAAAAACATACATCTGTTTTGAAGAGATAACCCATTTCCAAGTCTTCCTCTCAATAATCAGATGATTCTTCAGCATTGCTGCTTATTTATAAATCAAGAAACGTTTCATGCACGCCCTCACTTTCCATGGCATTCTCCATATACAAGACTGACTATAATTAAGTATCTGTCAAAATTYCATGTCCTTTATTGATTCCAGTTCTAATAAATAATGCTCCTAGTAACAACTGTTTATTGAACCCATCTGTTTTTCCTGAGTACACCATTTAGAAATTTCACTGAAGCCTTATAAACAGAACCCTTAATTCATCACATGAAAAACTRTACCAGAGTCCTCCCCTTTCTGGCACTACAAGACAAAACAGGGTCACATTCAGACAATTTCAGGATTCACTTGGCTGTAAGTTATACTGCTTTCATTCACTATCTTTCCAGTTGTTACCAAGGCATGTAAGTTCATGTGGGGATGTGACTAAAGAAATTGCCATAAATAACAGTTGCCCTCACAGACTCGGCCAAGATGCTATTTTTATTCTGCTTCTCTTAAACATGGTCTTGATTAGGGCAAAGGCTTCAAAACAGTTTCACCAGAAGCAAAAGAAAATATTTCATATCCAGCACTAATTTAGAAATGCTGTAAACTGAAAACYATTACAATTTTAAAATCTTTCAGATGTTGGTTTTGGTGTTAGGGGGGTGGGTTTATATCTAATTCAAGAGTATTTGAGTTTTCATGCTAGCAAAGTTCCAACACAAATGCTGATAGAAATCTGATATACAGAAAGAACAAATGCAGAGGCATTTCACCTGTCAGACTTGTGGAAAATTTTTTAAATTCCAAATGTTTTCAAGTAACTTTAARTAATTCAAATGTCAGTTATTTATAGAGAAAAATCTCAAATTCATGCAGAAATACTTCATCTAAAAAGCATGTACATACACTTACACGTTATATAGAGTAGAGGAAGAGTCTGGCCAYTGCAGGAATAAACATTTTAATGGCATGCAGAGCTTAAGCAGCAGCTTTAAAYACAGCCTAGCAGCAATATGCAGTTGCTACACATTAAAAACATTTTCATACTTTAGTACTCCTTGTCTTCAACAACACTGATCTGACACAGATTTCTGTCCTTATCCTGACACCTTGTTGCTGCCTTCCAAGATTATCCCATGAAGCATTTCAAATAAACTAATCCAATTCAAATTTCCAAATAACTGATGCTAATAAAAAAATGCTTTAATTCCAAAGGTGCATTTCATACTTCACCATTTCAACTCTAGCAACTCAGGACAGCAAATGCCCAAAGGGCTATTTTTCCTGGAACAGAAAGAAAACACAGATTTAAGAAAAGATTTCATGCCTACAGTTCTAATTTAAGTGGGTTTTTTTTTTTAATATACTTGCATAATTAAACAGAACAGCATCAACAAAACAAAAGCTGTAATTCTACTAAGCAAGGAAACTACAAGATTCCAGCAAACCAACAAACTCTTTCAAGTACATCTTACCAATACAAATCAACACACTGAGTGATACTGCTTATAAACCACAGGTTTTACACACACTCTATTTCCATAATCCCATGGAAGTCTCAGAGATTACAGAGTCATTCCAGTCAWACTATTTCACCTCAGGAGATAATTACAGATGGGCAGTCTTCAATTTTTCTGTAGTGCATGAAATTTGGACTCTAGTTCTCTTAACTTCAGAAAAAACAATGTATGCATGCAGGGCAGGTCACACTGTCAGGCTTCTCATTTCCTATACAGCAAGATGAGATCTGCTGTTTTCATTTCATGCATACTGCTCCTGGAAGACTGACTGCTTGGGAACACGGGAAGTAACGCACACAAGTGCAGTGATTCACAGGTGTAATCTCCACTTCTGCTAACAAAACTACCCGCAGAGTCCTGTGGGAGACCTGAGCATAAGCTTTGTACCCAATCTTCCATGGGTGAGAGAAAAAGCGTGCCAGGTTATCCAGAGAGCACATTTGTCAAAGGGCAGGGCTCGGAATGAAACCTGACCTGGTGATTCACCTAACGGATTTAATTCTAAGCTCTTCCCGATAGAGGCTTTGTACGCTTGCTGAGCGTACAGGTGATCTTTGTTAAGAGCCCTCGAGCTACTGCATTTTAATATTCTCATCAACAYAAACATTTATGCCTCATGAAAGTTTCATCTGAAAGCCATAAATACACCACAATCTCTTAACCCAAAGGAACGCCTGGGAACTGGGACGTTTTTTCTAAGAAATCATGCAGATTTCACAAACTATGCATTCTCCATACAACCTGAAAAAACAGTGTCACATCAGGTCATGAAATATATTTTTATTTTCTAATTAAAATTACCAGACATTAGCCAACATTTGAAAACTAATAATTTAAATATCCAGAATGAACAAGGTGATCTTTACGTTGCATGCATTAAAGTCACCAACAGGTTAAGAGACAACCTAATATCTACCTTAAGGCAGACTTTAATAAGAATTAATTTCCTGACATGAACATGGGGGAAGGTTCAAGATACTGGGGTTTTAGAGGAATGTGTACTATRCATGAGACTTAAACTCAAACTTATTAGGTTTGACCCAGCCATCAGCAAACAGCCTCTTCTCCTAGCTTAGAGCCAGCTCCACCATGCTAAGTAAAATACAGATAATACACACCACTTCTAGTGCCCAGCCTTGCAATATCTCATGCACATGTTTGTGATACAAGTCCTCACAAAATTAGAATCCAAGTGACTTAACTACCCAGCTATGTCTGAGAACATGTCTCCCATGGACTCTCTCAAGTGAAAGCAAACCCGCCCAATCAGGAGACTACAGCAGAATTTCAACACGATTCTGCCCCGACAGACTTTTTCCTTGGAAGGCGCTATCTGATTAAATTTAATATAGCACCTTAAAACAGCTCACTGCTGCAAGGAAGTGAATTGTTACAGTTAATAAATCATCCCAAGTACTACTGAACTTCCTCAAAATTACCATCTCTCTGATAAAAGCCCTATTAGAAGTGCCTTGTCYCACAAACAGACGATCACAGAAGAGAAGCAAATGGATTTTGTATTTCAAAATTAGCATTTTCATATTTTTTCCTACTCTGGAGGAAAAAATACATCCAAAAACACTGCCAGAAGGGTCTAAAATTCAACTTCAAAGTATATCACTTTCACCAAAACTAWTTCACTATGAAACTACAACAGATGGCAAATGAATTTGACCACATTATACACTGCTACTTACATTTCATAACATAAAAGAACTTCTTGGAAGATGGAGAGAACAAAAGCAAGGTGCCATTGGGGGTGGTGTSTGTGAAACTATATGATCTTTAAGGTCCATTCTAACCCAAACCTTCCTATGATACTGTGGAAAGCACAAACTTCTGAAAAAACACTGTAGCATCTAAATCCATTATTGGAGGGGAAAACTACAGGAAAGAGTTTCAGATGCCATAAACTGCAGTCATCAATGTCACTCTRCGCTTTCCCCCATAATACTGCTTTTTGCCTCTTAGCAATGCAATTTGCTTAAGTTGCCTTAAAAAAAGAAGTCACTAAATCTGAATTTGCTGTAACAGAAACTTTCATATTTTGTTCTTCTACAGTCATCTCCTCACGCACTCGCAGGGTATGTTAAAACTTATGAAAGGTCGATACTTAGCTAGCAAGTCTTCATAACCCTCAAGTACACAAACCTTTTCCCTGTGAACCTAAGGCTCAGGAGCTCTTTCGGTATAGAGCTGGAATTCAATTGGACGGGAAACAAACGTGATGGCTGTCGGGATTACATGGAACGAGACAAGTCCACGGGCACTATCTCTGCTTTCATCGTAACCTTTGAAGCACAAAGCACATGGAAGGTCACTTCAATTCAATCTGCGCCAAGTTACACCACGAAAGCCCACGGCAGCACAAGCCCTGCAGCCCGCGGCGCTGCCCGCCCGGAGCCGCCAACTCCGCCGTTCTAACTGTTGCTGCCACCTCCCGCATCCCCGCGGCGGRCACCCCGCTCACCGCGACAGGGACAACACCAAACGGACACACGAGACGGGTTACAATGA